AGGAAAGGAGGAACCCTCAGAAAGAATGTTAGATGAAATACAGGCAAGTCACTTATCAGATACTGAATTCAAAGCAGTGGTTATCAGGAAGTTCAAAGAGTTCACAATGAGCTACCAGAAACTACAGGAGAACTACAATGAACTCACTGCAAACTACATCAACGTGAAAAAGGAAATAGAAACTAACAACAAGGGCCAAGAGGAAATGAAGAATACAATTTCTGAACTGAAGAACACAGTGGAAGGAATCAAAAGCAGGCTCGATGAAGCAGAAGATTGAATCAGTGAGTTAGAGGATGAAGTAGAAATACCCAGAAAGAGCAAGAAAAGGAAAAGAGGCTCATAAAGAATGAAGAGGGATTAAGAGAAATGCAAGACAATATGAAATGTAATAATATCCGTATAATAGGGACATGAGAAGGAGAAGAAGAAGAGCAAGGGATAGAAAACCTATTTGAAAAAGTAATGATAGAAAACTTCCCTAATTTTATGAGAGAAAAAGTCACACAAATCCAGGAAACACAGAGAGTCCCTATCAAGAGGAACCCAAAGAGGCCTACTTCAAGACATATATGCTGCTTACAAGAGACCCACCAGAGGACAAAAGACTTACACAGACTAAAAGTGAAGGGCTGGAAACAATTTTTCCAGCAAACTGACAGAGAAAAAAAGCTGGGGTTGCAATACTCATATCAGACAAAATAGACTTCAGAAAAAGGGCCATAAAGAGAGACCCAGAAGGTCACTTAATTATACTCAAGGGAAGAATCCACTAAGAAGATATAAACATTGTAAATATATATGAACCCAACATAGAAGCACCCAAATACATCAAGAAAATCTTAGAGGACTTCAAGAAAGATATTGACAACAACACAATTATAGTAGGGGAACTTGACACCCCACTGTCAAAAAATGGACAGATCTTCCAAGCAAAATATCAACAAAGATATTGTGGCATTGAACAATGCCCTAGATGAAATGGACTTAATTGATATATGTAGAGCCCTTCATCCCAAAGAAGCTAAATACACATTCTTTTCAAAAGCACATGGAATATTTTCAAAAATAGACTACATAATAGAACACAAAACAAGCCTCAACAAATTCAAGAAAATTGAAATCATACCAAGCATTTTCTCCAACCACAAGGGACTGAAAGTATAAACCAACCCCAAGGGGAAAAACCCAAAATACTCAAAAACATAGAGATTTAATAGCATGTTATTAAATAATGAATGGGTCAAAAGTGAAATTAGGGAAGAAATCAAAAAGTTTCTGGAAACAAATGAAAATGAACTCACAAAAACCCAAAACTTATGGAACACAAAACTTATGAAACACAGCAAAGGCAGTCCTGAGAAAGAAGCTCATAGCAATACAGGCCTACCTAAAAAAGATAGAAACATTTCAAACAACCTAACCCTACGTCTACAAGAACTCAAGGAACAACAGCAAAAAGCCCAGAGAAAGTAGAAGGAAGGAAATAACCAAATTCAGAGCAGAATTAAATGACATAGAGACTAAAAGCACAATTCTAAGGATCAGGGAATCCAGGAGCTGGTTCTTTGAAAAGATAAACAAAATCAACAAGCCTTTAAGCAGGCTCATCAAGAAAAAAAGAGAGAAGACCCAAATAAACACAATCAGAAATGAAAGAGGAGAGATTACAACTGACATCACAGAAACACAAAGGATTGTAAGAAATTACTATAAAGAACTATATGCCCCCAAAATTGAAAACCTAGGTGAAATGGACAAATTTCTAGAAAAATATAATCTACCAAAACTGAATGAAGAAGAAGCAGAAAGCCTAAACAAACCAATAACAGCCAATGAAATTGAAGCAGTAGTCAAAATACTCCCGACACACAAAAGCCCTGGACCAGATTGTTTCATAGGAGAATTCTACAAAGCATTTAAGGAAGAGCTAACCTCTATCCTTTACAGACTATTCCAAAAAATTAAAAATAATGGAAGACTCCCAATATTTTTTTATGAAGCCAACTTCATCCTAATCTCAAAACCAGATAAAGATACAACAAAGAAAGAAAACTTCAGGCCAATATTGCTGATAAATATAGACGCTAAAATCCTCAACAAAATATTGGAAAATTGCATCTAACAATACATTAAAAAGATCATACACCATGACCAAGTAGGATTCATCCCAGGGATGCAAGGATGGTTCAATATTCACAAATCAGTAAATGTATTACATCACATAAACAAAAGCAAAAACAAAAATTACATGATCATATCAATAGATGTAGAAAAAGCATTTGATAAGTTACAGCACCCATTTGTGATAAAAAAAAAAAACACTCAGCAAAGTGGGAATAGAGGGAGCATTCCTCAATATAATAAAGGCCATATATGAGACACCTACAGCCAACATCATACTCAATGGGCAAAAACTAAAATCTTTTCCACTAAGATAAGGAACAAGACAAGGTTGTCCACTTTCACCACTTCTATTCAATATAGTATTGTTAGTTTTAGCCACAGCATTCAGACAAGAAAAGGAAATAAAAGACATCCAAATAGGGAAGGAAGAATGTAAAATTGTCATTATTTGCCGATGACATGATACTGTACATAAAGAACCCCAATGATTCTACTTGATTTTACCAAGAAACTGCTAGAACTGACAAATGAACTCAGCAAATTAGCGGGATACAAAATTAATACCCAGAATATTAGTTGCATTTTTATATGCCAATGATGAACTAACACAAAAGGAAATTAAGAAAACAATCCCATTCACAATTGCTCAAAAGGAATGAAATACCTAGGAATAAACCTAAGCAAGAATGTAAAAGACTTGTACTTAAATAATTATGAGACACTGAAGAAAAAAGTAGAAGATACAAATAAGTGGAAGCACAACCCATGTTCTTAGATAGGAAGAATTAACATCATTAAAATGTTCATACTACTAAAAGCAATCTATAGATTCAATGTCATTCCTATCAAGACTCCAATGATGTATTTCACAAAACTAGAACAAACATATCAAAAGTTTATATGGAACCACAAAAGACCCCACATAGCAACAGTGATCCTGAGTAAGAAGAATAAAGTTGAAGGAGTCATGCTGCCTAATATGAAACTTATCATATAAGGCCATAGTAAGCAAAACAGCATGGCACTGGCATAAAAACAGACACGTAGATCAATGGAACAGACTGGAGACCCCAGAAATAAATCCACGTCTTTACAGTCAATTAGTATTCAGTAGAAGAAGCAAGCACATATAATGGGCTAAAGACAGTTTATTCAACAAATGGGGTTGGGGAAAATTGGACAGAGACATGCAGAAAAATGAAACTAGACCACCTTCTTATACCACACTCAAGTAAATTCAAAATAGATCAAAGAGTTAAATGTTAGACCTGAAACCATAAAAATAGTAGAAGAAAAGTCAATAAAACCTCGAGCATTGCTCATAACAATATGAGCAAGACAAGGGAAACAAAAGAAAAATAAATACACGGGACTACATTAAACTAAAAGTTTTTGCACAGCAAAGAAATCATCAACAAAATAAAAAGACAACCCACAGAATGCACAACCTATTCACCGATATATCTTATAAGGGGTTAATATCTAAATTTATAAATAACTTAGGAAACTCAGCACCAAAAAAACAAACAGCCCAATTAAAAAATTAGCAAAGGACCTGAATAGACACTTCTGCAAAAGGGATATATAGATGGCTGATAGGCATATGAAAAGATGTTCAACATCACTAATCATCAGAGAAATGCAAATTAAAACCACAATATGATATTACCTCACACCTGTCAAAATGGCTATCATCAATAAATCAACAAACTACAAGTGCTAGGGAGGGAGGATGTGGAGAAAGGGGAACCCTTTTGTACTCTTGGTGGGAACGCAGATTGGTGTAGCCACTGTGGAAAACAATATGAGAGATATCTCAAAAATTAAAAATGGATCTTTCTTTTGACCCAGCAATCCTACTTCTGGAAATATGCCTGAAGAAACCCAAAACACTAATTTGAAAGAGCACAAGCACCCCTATGTCTGTTGCAGCATTATTTACAATTACCAATACATGGAAGCAGCCCGAGTGTCCATTAGTGGATGAGCGGTTAAAACAACTATGGAACATTTACCAGTAGAATACTATTCAGCTATAAAAAAGAAGAAACTTTTACCCTTTGTGATGGTATGGATGGACCTGAGAAGTTTATGCTAAGTGAAATAAGCCAGTCAGAGAAAGACAAATACCATATGATTTCACTCGTGTGGAATCTAATAAACAAAATTGAACTAACAAGGAAAATGGGAACGGACTCATAGATAGAGAGCAGGCTGACAGCTATTGGGCAGAGAGATCAGGGGGTGGAGGGGTTGAGCAAAAAGGACTCATGGACATGGACAGCAGCATGGTGATTGCTGGGAGGAACAGGGTGTAAGGTGACTAACTGGTAATAAAAAGATACAATAAAGGTTACATTTAAAAACAAATGTAAAACATTATTATTGCTAATATTTAAAAAAATGAATGAGTCTGACAATATCAAGTTTATAGGGAATGTGAATCAATGTGATCAGATTGTTGGGAGGAGTGTAAATTAATAGAATCACTTTGGAAAATAATTTGTCATTATATTGTAAAGTTATTCATTCTTTAAGATCCATTAACGTCACATCTAGGTAGAGATCCAAAAGAAACATTAGCATCTGCGTAATATGAAATAGGAGATTTTCACAACAAGAAATACCTATTGGCAGAAGAAAATATAAATAAAATTTGGTAGAGTCACACAATGGCTTATAATACATATGTGAAAATAATGAACTACTGTTTTGTTAACCACGAGATATCTCAAAAACAATGTTGAGTAAAAAGAACAGGATACAGAAGACTAACTGTAATGTGATACTCATTTTATTACCAAACAAATCATAAGTAATAATGTATTATTATGTGCACAAGCATATTTGGTAAAACATTAAAAAATTTTTCATGTCAGATGGGTAATATGCTAATGTCATAACAAAGTTTGTCAGAGGCCATGTTACACAAGAGTGTGAACACCCAATCATCATGCTTATGAACTACAAAAGGATCTGGTAAAACATTTTTAAAAAGCAAAGGAATAACAGACATCAAATTTAAGAGAGGAGCCCTGGCCAGTGTGGCTCAGTTGGTTCAAGTGTTGCCCTATGAACCAAAAGGTCACTGCTTCGATTCCCATTCAGGACACATACCTAAGTTGTGGGTTCAGTTCCCAGTAAGGGAATGTGTGAGAGGCAGCCAACTGATATTTCTCTCACAACAATGTTTCTTTCCCTCTCTCCCTTCCTTCCCCTTTCTCTAAAATCATAAGCATGTCCTCAGGTGAGGATAAAGGGTAAACTCTAAAGACGAGTAACCTGTGTGAGAGGGAGAGAGCTTGGATAGATAGGGTGTCCTGAGGTCAAGTGAAAATGACAGTAGTTCTTAGTGGGGTATTGGTTTCAGTATTTGTCTATTAGCAAATAAAACAAACATGAAGAAAAATAAGGTCATGCATTGATCAATGATGGGAGGATGCCATGAATCAAGAAATTCAAATAATTTCATTCTGTGCATTTGAAATTTACTTACAAATAAATAACAAACAAACAAATAAATAAATAAATAAATAACCCCTCAAGATGTGCTACTTTGTCGTGTAGATTATTTTGGTCTGAAGGTAATAGAGATCCTGGAGAAAAAAGAGAAACTTCTATCTCTTCCTTAAAAAATCTAAATTAGTGTCCTTGCCCATAATAAAAGTTATTACCAGAAATAACTTTTTATGACCTATCCATATGGCAGAGCAAACATCTAATTACTGAGTGTCTGCTCTTTTTTTTTTTGGTCCTGTAAATGACCTTTTTCCCCCGTGAAGTCCCAGGAACCCGACACCATTCCTGGGCTCCGAATATCATTTATACCTCATTTTATCTTTCTGTATGTGGGAGTCTCTGACTCTCTTGTGTGTGTGTGTTTTGGGGGTGGGTCCCCATAAATATGTATGTTATTAAATTTGATATTGTCTCTTGTGAGTGTGTCTAATGTTGAATTACTAGGCTAGCCAGAAGAACTTAGAAAGGTAGATAAAAATTTCTTACTCTTCACAATTATTTTAGAAGTGTGTGAAAGCTATAAAAGAAAATTTTTTTAATCCCACTACCCAAATGCAGCAAGCAGCCCCTTTCAGAAGTCTCATTTAGTGACCTGGAACATACTCTTGTAGCCTTCTGATGCAGTGTGAAGTGTTGCTGTTCTTGTCAACACACTGGAGCCAGTGTGGTGTCACTTCCCGCAGCTCTGAGGTCAGGAGAAGGATTTGGAAAACCGGGGCTAGGAATGTAAGGAAAGAAACAAGAAGGTGTCAGCTCAGGCTCTTCAGGGACAGTTTTTAGCTTTTCTTGAAAATCTGGTTCCAAAAGTCTCATTTAAATTATATTAAAAAACCCAAATAAACAAATAAGAGTACTGCAAAGTAAATATTTAAGTGTCAGCATTTTAGGTCTCATTTATATTGTAACACTTCACACTTTTCTTCCGTGTACACAGAAGAAAATAAATGTATACAGCCCTCAGTTTCCACATAAAAACATAGAAATACATTTGATTTAGAAACAACAACAAAACAAAAAGACATCTGGGAGACTGGAATGTGTGTACATTTAAAGCAGTGTCCCCTGAGGTGTGAGACAAGCACATACAGTGCCTGCGATCTCATGGGCTGTGTTTCAAGGGGACATTGGTACTGTGGAGACTGATTGGACTTAGCAGTAGAAAGAAGACCCATATCAGGAGTCCCTGCTGTGGTTTCAGCTAACCGTGAACTTATGAACCTCTTTCTGTAATGGGGTGGTCTGTGAGGCTCCAGGGCCCCCCACAAGCTTCCCTAGTGGCCTGGGAAAAGCAGCAGCACAGGGATTGAGAGTTATTTTGCATATCAATAATAGCAGGCTGGCTTCAGAGCCTGCATGGAGCCAGGGAGATGGGCATGACTTTGACCCATGGTGTATCCAGAAGGTAGTTCCCCCCATTAGAGTGTCAGCATGAGAGTTTGGAGATGGTTCTTCCCACACCATGGGGCCCACACCTGCCCAAACTAACTATGGCACCCAAGAAAGGCAGAGAATATGGGAGTGCTAGCTGGTGTAGCCAATTGTGGGAAGAGTTGGAAATGGGGTTATGGAAGAGCTTCCCGTCTGGGATTTAAACAAAAAGGCAGCACACCATGTGGGACAGGGACAATGAGAGACAATGTAGGACAACGTGGGACCATGCTGGAAGAAAAGGGGTGAAAGAAGTCTCGCTGGCAGGACATAAGAAGGTGACACATGATTTTGGATTAAGAACTGGATATCGCAGCAACACAGCTGATAGTGCTGGGAACTTCAAGAGACCTGCGCAGCGGAGCATGGATTCCTGGGAGGAAATGAGAGAAGTAAGCTTCGGACTTCTGTTGTTTTTGTTTTGTTTTCTGGAAGGCAGCACTGCTGACTGGCATACTCTGAGACTGGCCTGACTTGGCAAAGGGGAGAGGGAAGAAAGACTATGTGTTTGTGGGTGTATCTTCATTCCTAAAGGGAGTGAGATTTAATGGTAGAATCCCACCATTTATCTAAACCTGTATAACTTTAAATTAAATAGTTCCTTTCCTTTTTATCAAACTCTGGCATTAAGAGCCACAATTCCTACTGGTGGCAAGCAAAGAAGAACCATAGAACAATTTCCTCATCTGCCGAACTCAGGGACTAACACCTGCCTTCCCTACCTTCTGGTTAGTGTGATGATATAGTGTATGATGAGGTCTGTCCAGAGAGTATCCAGCATGCGATGTGAAAAATAGAGACATTTATTGAAGAAGATCCAGGATACAAGAAACATTGTACATAGGACAGTGACACCTTAGTCCCCTTCAAAGTAGGCATCTTGAGACCTCACATAATTCTCTCAGTCACCATCAGCTAGCTGCCCTGTGGTATTTTCCTGAATCTCACTGATGGTCTGAAATCTCTTCCCTTTCAAAGGTGATTTTTAGTTTTGGGAAAAGCCAGAAGTCACAGGGCACTACCTCTAGGTTATACGGGGACTGAGTCATCTGGATGATTTGATGTCTCACCAAAATATTCTGTACAAGATGTGATGCTGAGTAGGTACATTGTCATGATGAAGCTGCCAGTCACCAGTTGACCATTGCTGTGGGCTTCTGAATCATCCAAATAGTTTCTATAGAGGAATGTTCAAGCTTAATGCAAAATTCGATGTGTATTTGTTGCTCTACTTGCTCAATCATTTTGAATGTGACAGCCACACAGTACACATGCTCACTCAACAGCATCTACTGCCCCCACTGAAGTTATTGTTCACGCATGCGCATTCCAGTCCACTCTCCTTGGCTGCCAGGTTACATAGATGTCATGCAAACCATTCTCATTATATTAACAATGGCTGGACTTTTTTCCAGACAGACCTCATATGTCAACAGTCAACAGTCAAACAAGAGTCAGCAGGCCAGAGGGTGGTGACAGGAGACTACTGGGATGCATACAGTGCCCTTACACACACTGGATTGTACTGGAGTATGGTTGTACTATTTATAATGACCATGGAGTTTAGAGCAATTTTATTTTTGCATATGTGACAGAAGTAATTTTGAAACCGGAACAGATACTGGTATTTGGGCTGCCTATCACTACCAAACCCAATAAACAATGACAGCGATTGAATTTTTATGGGTGCTTTGTACAGATGGCCAGTGATCTGAGAAGATGGCGGGTTCACACTCTGACAGACCATCTTGTCTTTTCTTTCCAGGCCAACGTTTTTATAACAGGGAATAAACGAGGTACAGTGAGGGGTTTTGAAGTTCAGGGAGGATTAGGTGAAAGAAGCTGCAACAGTCCTGTCCTGGGTAGTTAGCTGTTCCCAGGGGTGGTGGTCCTCTGATTCTCCCTGGAAAACAAAGGCCCAGATGCCTCCACTTGTCCCCAGGCGGTAATCTTTAGCAGTGCTCCAGGAGGTCAGCTGTTTTCCCAGGAGCCAAGACAGGCCTTATCTGTAGTTTCTGAAACAAAAGCTTTAACATACACATTACTTGCTAGACTTATAACTTTTTGCCTTAAGCTAAAATTTTCCAACTCTTGAGTCCCCTACCATTTTAATCAAATCTGATGTATTCGATGTCAAGTCCTTAATCAGGAATGTAACTCCAAGTTTATATCCTTGTTCTCATGATAAAAAAATATATAATCCCCCTTACAGAAATCTGTTTCTTGATGATCCAATTTAATTTGTAGTTTCTAGAAAAAAGTTTTGTAGGTACAGTTGAGGATCGCCAGTCACCAAGATATTAATTATATAGTCACTAGAGAGAGACATGTGGGCTTCACCTTACCCTGGAAATGGTACAATGGTGTCTATGAAACAAATCCTTGTCCCCAGAACTTCACATTATCATTTCAAAAGCACTTTATGTTTCTCTCTGCTTGATCATCACGTGGTACTCCCAAAATGTCTGCTCAGAATTTCTCTGCCCTTAAGCTTCTCTGACAATTAGTTAAACTGTAAATAAATACTTAAATGTCCTCAGGAAAATGTCATTTGAAAGAATCCTGTTAGAAACTGAAGGATATTTCTGAAATGCAAATACTTCCTTGTTATTAAACTGTCCCGAGGTTTGACACTGGGCTTCCCGAAGGCTCCACGCCTCTGAGGGAGCTCCAGGCTTTCCCAGTGCCTCTCATCTCTTTCAGGGAAGACCAGGGAAGGCCAGGGAAGAAGCATCCTAGAAAATCTTTTCTCCTATTTTTTTTCCAGAGGAGTAGAAGGAAATAAAAAATAGTTAGGTCTGGCAGCTTAATCTGGGTTGACTGTTTTTGCCAGCAATCTGTAAAATGTGTTTATCAAGGATAAGAAGTGCGGGCCCCAGGCCAAAGCTCACGTCTGTCATCTTCAGGAAGATACAGGATCCCCCTCCCCCACGGCTCTGCTGTGTGCTTGTGCATGAACACTGCGCCTGCCACAGTCCCACAGCTGCTCAGAGTTGACCCTGTCCTCTTTCCCAGCAGAAACTTCTACC